TCCAGCATCATAGCAACACACAAAGCACACTGGAGGACAGACTGCCGGACGAGTGGTGGAGTAGACAGTGGACGGAAATGCCTCTGCAACTGGAAATTGCCATCGAAGGGGGAGTTAATGCTGCTGATGTCAGTGAACTGCTTAGCCACACACTGATGATGCCATGTGTGCATGTGTGTACACGCGTACATGTGCACGTGCGTGTGCATGTACATGTGTGCGTGTGTATGTGTGCACACATGCATGTGTGCGCACATGCATGCATGTGTGCGTGAGTGCTTTCTGTTTTAGTTTCAGGATGTGAGTGTTGTTTGGTGAGGACTGTGAACGATGAGACACGGACATTGGCTTGAACCCCATGTTACCCCTATTTGCCAATGTCTCCTGTATTGGGCTCTGAATAGGGGCTGTGGGTAACAGAGGACTGTGGCAGCACTCCTGTCAGGCACCACAGAGACTCAGGACACGCCATGCTGTGGAGGCGGGGTCTGTGCTCTGCATGGGGACTGGACCAGTGAGGTACAGCTGGGCACAGAGGAGAAAGGGCCGAAGGGGAAGTTGGTGCTGGTGCAATCACAGGCTGTGGCATTCTGGGCCTCGTGTAGCATGCAGAGAAATAAGTCCTGTGGAGAAGGGAAATGGGACTATTTCCTTGTCTAAGACACTCAAGAGTACGGAACCACTGATTACATGATTGAGAAGGCCTGTCTGTGATACAGATGTGAGGACGGAGGCCAGAGTGAAGGCTCCATTTTACGGGGAAGGGGAGCAAGGTCTGGTGGTATAACAGTGAAGGCACTTGGCTACAAACCAAAAAGGTCAGTAGTTCAAACCCATCAGCTGCTCTGCGGAAGAAAGATGAAGCAGTCTGCTTTCATAAAAATTTACAGCCTTGGAAACCCAATGGAGGTCACTATGACTAGGAATCGACTAGGTGGCAGTGAGATTGGTTCTTTTGGTTTTAAGCAGTAAGACGTTACATTTGTCTTTTAGAGAAAGCTCACCCAAGTTGAGTGGGAGGAAGACGAGAACCGAGCAACCACCAGCTCACTGCTGTTGTCCAGAGAACCGAACCCTGGCTCTTTCTACCTTATTCCTGGTCTTCCCTTTCAGCTACACTGTACATCTCAGGCCCATCTGGCTAGGCTGTGATTAGCAGAGCTCAGCCACATTCCAGCCAGCTGAGAGCTACACCCAGAGACAATTCATGACACACGCTCTCGATGTGGGCTCCGACTTCAGGGTCAGGGAGCCATCAGTCATGGAGGTTTGGGTCACTGGGCACAGGACTGAGGTGGTGAGTGCCCAGGGCTATATCTGGCTCCAGGTGATGGTAGGTGGAGGGAGTTGGGCTGAGCCTGGTGTCCCCTCATGGTGGGGACAAGGAATGGGTAGGCCCTTTCTTGATATAACCA